CTTTTTTTAAATTTGGTAACTGAATACTAAGCAAACTGACTTATTAATGATGAACATCAGTTCCTACTCAGCATATAGCTCGACATATACTCTAATACTAGGATTTATTATTGTTTAGTGGAAGCAAGAGTTTATATCATCCGTGATCAATTTGAAATTACTGGATTAAATCATTACTTCTTCTGCTCTTCATGCCTTATCACTGCATCTGGTACTGTTTGTAGAGAAACCCAAAGCAATGGCGTGAGCATGGAATGGATTGAGAGATCCATCTCTGGTGCGAATAAAACCCTTGTTCTCACAAAGAGGATTAAAGATTGCCAGTCTGTTGCCTATCCACTCGTCATCAGAATGCTTACTCTCATACTTGCAGATTTGCTTACTTATGGCTAAATACCCTCAGATCCTGCACTGCCCTAATACTTCGTTAAAGATCCATTCCAAAAAATAGCTTACTAGCTATCGAGTAACACAAGGAACCTGCTATATTAGGAATATACAATATAGATGCACTGTTGTGAAAAGCCTCATAAATCATAAAAGTACAGTTGTAGCACGCATTTCTATCATTATCCCTCTTACATCACCAAATCAATTTCAGTAGAACTCAAAATACAATATTGTATGACATAAAAGCATGCATCATCCTTGAGAAACAATTGTGGCTTGATTGAAACATTGTTTCTATTTGATGAGATTATGTGGCATTCCAAAAATGTAATTACAAACTGAATTATGAGTTGATTTAGCAATTATTTGCACATCAGCACACATATAATCAAAAGTTAATTCCAACTGATTCATCCTCCTTTGTATCACACTATTTTTAAGTAGATTCAACAACTGTAAATTAAACAGCTTAAAATGTAAGCCAAAAATCTAGCTTTTTGTTTCATCCACAAAAATTATCATTCCGAATACGATGCCAAAACCCAAAAATATTTCGTTCAATCTGACTTGAAATGTAAACAGCATAACAAGCATAAAAATGAAATGCTAATGTTGAAAGCAGAGAGAGATTTATTGACATTGTATAGCATAACATACAGTAAATCTCCATCAAATCGCATCTCTTTTAGTAAAAATCATTTTGAGTAATTCAATTCTCCTTAATTCATTTCCTGATTTCCCTTTTTTCTCTTGTTTATGCTAGTTCGTAAATATGTTTATATGAAGCTCTATTGTGTATGATGATGAAAGAAGAATAGCGGCATAGAATAAGAAAAACATTATTTTCTATCTTTTGAGCATATATTTATAGGAAGTGGAGTGGAATTGCGTAGTTTCTTCATAAGTCCGTAAAAACTAGAGCTTACGCTTTATACATACTGATGTGATATATTTTTGCTCCAATTGTTACTCGTATTTTTGGGATTTTTTGTCATGAAGGAACCTTGAGATCGAAATAAATCGAGGATGAAATAATCGATTTCTTCTGTTTGGAGTTGAGTTATTGTTAAAATTATAAGGAGAACTGAGATAAATTTGACATGGTAAAGTTCTTCCTTTGTGCTTATTGTCTTTCAAAAAACATTACTGGGTAAGATTTAATAATCACTTCTAAAGCTGGATATCTACAACGGTTCGTTAGAAGCAATCGGCGATCGTCTAAATCGACACAACTTAAAGAGAAAAGATCGATGACTAGTCATCAGTATTTGGTCATTAAAGGCGGTATTTTGAGCAGTTTCGATCAAGATCTGAGATTGATAACTACTTACATAAGTGCCAACCTATGTGCCGCGGTACACAAGTGTGCCATGAAAAAACTTTGGATGTCTCACAAATCGTATGCTGCGTTTGGTTTTGGTCATGGCTATCCACCAAGTGTGCCGAGACACAAAAAATGTTGACCACCACTGACTTACATTATTGGTACGGTTGTAGCTTTGTCTAGGTTTTGTGTAAAGATCTGATATATCTCACCAGCTTTGTGTAGTCACTGAAATCATGAACAATAATAAGGATGACCACAGATTCAACACCATTCGATTTTAATTCCAACTTATTTAACAATCCTAACTCTAATCACAAAAAATGCTTACATTGTCCCCATAACTCTACTATTCACTCCATCCTTACTTAAATTTTTATCGTACTCAATCAACATCACTTGCCTAAAGCATATACAAAGAATAAAACACAGAATTGAGATCTTATCGTAGAAAAAATAAAAACTAAGAAGATAAATTGTAATGTGATGAAAACTTACATCCTCAAAAAGTAAACTTTTCATAATTGGAAAAATTGTTAGAACAAAAAATTTGTTCAGCGTGTAGGAAAAAGCTTTAAAACTTTACGATTCAACAATTTCTCAGAGAGAAAGTTTCGAAAGGTAATCTAAAGAACATGAAGATTTAGTGAGAAAAGTTTGTTCTATATGAGAGAGAAAAATGGTCATTAAAGATCCATTTATACTATCAGTGATGAATTCTAAGATAAATCTCATATACACAGTAAAAATTACAAATTTTATAGGATATTATTTTTTATCAAAATCATAAACTAGATTCTTTTGTGTTCCTCTTCATTTCTTTCACATTACTTTCTAGGTTGTATGAATCGGGGGCTATTTGGATATTGTGTGACGTCATGATATTGGCTTATTTATTGCGGCATGCTTAAAATGACGCTTTGACGCCACAGAAGAAGTAATATAATAAGAAATTTCATCAATATATCCCCATCAAGTTGTTTTTCCCTTGCATGACACTGTTGCAGCATAGTTTGAGTAGCACTGCCCTAGCCGAATCTTAAGGTTTCATTCTTTGACTATTCCATTGTTTGCCAGCACCTAAGAAGTTAACCATTACTACAAGTACGTACATAATGTCTTTAATCTTACGTAACATCCGAACAACCCCAAAAGAAAATGACATTTCATTCTCAGTAAAGATAAAAGGACCACAACAACAAGTCATGTGCTGGACAATTTACAGATGACAACTTCATTTTTCATTTCACAAAAATAAAAAAAATCTTTTGTTCGGAGAATTTTATCATTTCAGCTTGATTTTTGTGCTACCTTATAAAAACTTGTTCATTATTCATTTCGGTTTTTTGTGTGTCCAAAAATAGCATTTTATTGTTTGAAAATTTTCCTTTGAAGTTCATTCAGGAATTTTATTGCAATCAACTTATTTGTTGAATGGACAATTAAATTGTATTTGGGCAGTCTATGATCCTGTTTATAGAGTCAAAAGTTTTTGTTTCTGTCTCTTTACTGGACTCATTGTTTGACAATACATTCATTTTATATAAATCATTTTAAATTGTATTTCGAACTTTATTTTAATGTCCAAAAGAAAAGCAATTTCATGCAGTTTTGGGATGGCAACTAAACGATGGAGATTCTGACAATAATTATGTGAATCAAGGGTGTGGAACTGATAAATCAGATTTTGATTATTTTAGATCATTTCAGCAGTTCTGCACCCTTGATATGAATTGTGCATAGCATTATAATTGAACTTAAATTGAAAGTATTCAATTGAACTTTATTGTCAGCCAAGAAAAAGACAACATAGTCGATTTCCTGTGTCTCTAAGGTTTGGTAGCACCAAAACATAAAGGAGAATTTATGGAAACTACTGAGAAAATTTTCGTGCAACCTTTTCTCATCGTGTTGTTTCCCCCCTGCTTGACAGCTTACGGGCCGTTCATTTATGACCTCCAGGGGGGGGGGGGGGGGGCGGGGGGTCAGCAAGAAAAGAACAATATAAATTCCAGGAAATCCATTGTTATTTTTTGAAAAATAATCGTTAATTTCGAACGTCATAAGTAAACGACCCCTTATCAATAAGTATTTTTTTTCCAAAATTTAAAAGCTTTCTGAACCTTAATGTATTTAAAATAATTATTATTTAAATTGATTCAATCAATTTGTTTTCGAGCTTCATGATTCACACTCTAAAGAACTCTTTCTGTCCAAGTTTCAAATTTTATTGCATTATTTGCATGAGCTTCTCTGGATTTCTGAGAATTTTTAAGCTTTGTGATCTAAATTATAGCCTTTAGTGTCAGCTAGAGTCACAACTATCTCTCTTTATTAAGCTAGCATATTATAAATTTACTCATCCTACAAAACTTAATTATTTTGCACAAATTTCATGATACAAAAGTTTCCATGATAATTAAAATTATTTTTTTATTCCCCTTTTGACTCACAAAAACTTTATAGAGGCACACTAATTACCTTTGAGATTCATTTAAAAGCATCAAAATTAAAATTTTTAACTTTTATTTACGTGCTGAAAACTATATCACGTACTCAAAATTACCATTTGTCCTTCATCAAGTCTATTTCCGTGATTAATCAAATATTTAACATTGTGACTTTATTATATTATTGTTTACTGTTCATCAATCTCTAAATTAACATTGGATATGACATGACACTGATGGCAATTAAATCAATAATTTTAACTATGAATAGGATTTGTTCGTGGTTTTGTATTACATAATAATGAGGTATTTAAATGTAATTAGATATTTTAATTAAGTTCCAAAATGTATTGAAGTTGATAAATTCATTGTGTTGATTTAGGTTTGAGGAGGAATTGAGGATTGAACCCCTTCATTCATATTAAGTGTGTAGATCCTCAGATTTCTCTAATTCTTACGAGATCTGAAGAGATATCATGACTGTGTCCAATTTGGAATGGTCTTCAATAGCTCATTTCATATTTAATTCACAAACCCCCCCTTAATGCTTACATTATAAATCTTCATGTTAATTAAAACGTATGCGTATAATTTTGATTGATCATAGAACATACCAGCCTGAAGTAGACAAACATCCATCATATCCCTGCATTATCATTAAACATTCTGGATTCATTCATCTCGCGGCGATTTGTAGACTCAGACAAAGATAAATGTTTACCTTTACACTCGCAAAACATTTAATCGCATTCAATCCCTTTCACAAACAATATCCAGACATAAAAAAACATATGCTTGCGTCTCAATGTTGGTAAAGGGACATAAAACTTAATTACCTATCGATAGCGATGGCCATTAATGTAAATACTGAAGCACATATACTAGTATTTGCAACAAATTGTGATATTTTGCAGAACAGCGTTCCGAAAGGCCAATTTGAATTCAACATGTATACAAAGTTGAGTGTGGTATTTAATGTAGATACCATTGCATCAGCTATTGATAAATTTACTGCAAAGAGAAAGAGGAAAATGTAAATTGCAGTTTATTAGCTTTGTTTGAGTCTTGGAATGGTGGATTATTATAATTGATGAATTATTAGTAATTATGGATGGTTTATGAATGAATTGTAGCTTTTGGATGATGACTAAAGGGGTCGTTCATAAATGACTTCCATCTTCATGAGATTCCAAAGGCTTAATATGTTAATTTTGATACAAACTATTGAGTGGGTTCCTTAAAAATCGTAAATTTTAAAAGGCGTTATTTACGACCAATCCAAAACCAATCATCTCATTAAATTGCATAATTTAATAAGAATTCCAACTCCATTACACCAAAAAAAAGCCCTCATCATATCTGCACAAACAGCCTCAAAATATTCAGTGAGCAACCGAGTAATTAAGGACAAGATACAAAGAGGCTTATGCTTAATAACACTATGATACCTTACAATACATACCTATAAAATAATTTGTTACTGTCCTCATCCGCTTATGAGCCAATACTATCCATATAACGACAAGATTGCCAACTGTTGCGACCATAATCATGCCAGCAAATAGTATGCTCCATACTATTTGTCGCCATACTGGTAAAATGTAAATATTATTCAGCACGTCTCTGTAAAAAAGATCGGAAAAATATAAACAATTTTTTTTCAAGAGGTGGATTAATGAAGTTATGTATTTTATGGCTGCACACTTTAATGCTTGTGGGAATATTTTTTTTTTGTAAGTAAGTTCAGGGGGAATTTTTACTTTAAAGAGAGCTTTTTTGGTAGACATTGATGTCTGTATTAAGTTTTTATTATTTTACGATGAGTTATTAAGCTTTAAAAATTGAAGCTGAATTTTTAAGCTTTAATGCAAAGTATTAAAATTTTTATTTTGGGGATCGTACAAGGATATCCATCTTTAACGGTCTACTGAACATTTTTGATGGACTGAGCATTCGATGGAACAGCAAATGAGGTTACAAAGGTTCAGAGTTGCGATCTGTAACAGGCAATCACCTGACACTTACCTGCTAACAGGCAGTGCCCATGGTAATATTTTTTTTTGCCTGTCACAGGCACAGATCTGTTATATCTGTGGGAATATTTGACAGATCTGTGCCTGTGACAGACCTGTCATCTGTTACTAAGACAAGCGACTTGTATTGCAACTGTGCAAAGGTTTATCCAATGCAACTGTCTTCCCATGCCTGATTTATCATGGTTGTGAGGTACTTAGTATGCCTTAGAATAGATCAGTTCAGTTCAGATTAAAAACAATCAAACAACTTTAGCCAAAACTTCATTGTAATGACAACAAAAAATTAAAGATTTCTCAAAAAAAGGCACTCAAGTGGAACACAAAAAAAATCCCATTGAGAGAATGACTCATGAATATTCAACAGTTCATTGATTGCTTTTTTGACGCCAACTTTTTTTTCTCTCTTCCATTTTAAGTGCTTATACGGCATCAAAGTTGTGATCGACCCTCCCAAAAAATGGCAATTATTTTGAAGTGATTAATGCCAATGGAGCATTTAAATTCTTGTAGAGTTAATATTATAAGGTCGACTGTTTGCTGTTGGAATGAAAATTAATTGAATTTCTACCCACGAAATTTATGTGTTAATTAAGGACTACATTTTGAGAAATTTTTAAGAAAATAACCTCGAAAAATTGCTCAGCTTTTTAATGAAGTAAATTTTTATGGCAAACACACTTATTAATTATGGGTGATAAATTTAGCACAAGGCACAGTTACCCAGAAAAATTAGTATGAGAAAAAATGTTTGCTTTCGGTTGATCTTATAAATATTTTAGTGAGTCATTCATTAATGACGTCTTTAAGATTCAAATTTTCAGTTTTTTTCTATTTTTGATTAGATTTGGCTCAAAAACTATTATTCAGGGATGTTCAGGAAGGTTTGGAAAGGTTCAGGGATACTCGAAGAGGTTCAGGGAGACTTGAGATGGTTCAGAAAGGTTTAGGAAAGTCCAGAAAGGTTTAGCAAGGTTCAGAAAGGTTCAGGGATACTTGAGGAGGTTCAGGGAGACTTGAGAAGGTTCAGAAAAGTTTAGGAAAGTCCAGAAAGGTTTAGCAAGGTTCAGAAAGGTTCAGGGATACTCGAGGAGGTTCAGGAAGACTTGAGAAGGTTCAGAAATGTTTTGGAAAGTCCAGAAAGGTTTAGGAAGGTTCAAAAAGGTTCAGGGATACTCGAGGAGGTTCAGGAAGACTTGAGAAGGTTCAGAAATGTTTTGGAAAGTCCAGAAAGGTTTAGGAAGGTTCAAAAAGGTTCAGAGAGACTTGAGAAGGTTCAGGAAGTTTAAAAAGGGTTTAGAAGAATTCAAAAGGGTTCAAGGAGTTCAAGAGTATTTAGGGAGCTTCAAGGAGGTTCAAGGATTAGATTCTAGAGCACCACAAACTAAAAATGTAACAATTACTGCTAAAATAACCTTTTTATACAACTACTCTTCCTTACTCACAACTTTTAACAATGAAAATCGGAATAGTTTGGACCACACACTTTTAAAATCTGAACTTTCATTAACATAATTTAAGCTTGGACCCTAATGGCAGTTTCTTATGCCCAACCGTTGAAAACATCAATGAAATAAATTCAATAATTCAATTTCTTTACCAAAACAAGTCACATACTAGCTGAAGATTATAAATTTTCCATAGAATTTATCAAAAGATTATCGAAAGCTTTTTTTAATATTCGCGATAATTTATAAAATCAATTTAAAATAATTTTAGCAACATAGGCAGTTTTTAATATTTCTTTTCTTTTTATAATAAATTTTCTTATTCCCCCTTTTTTATGCTCCATCTTCTATGCAAATAAAATCCAAACGATAAACTTTTTCTGAGCTTTTAATTCTTAAAAAGAAGAAAGACAAATGAAGTGAAAAATATCTCGGAATAAAATTTTAATAATTGCTAAGAGATTCTATTATGCTCATTTTATGATATGAATTTCAATTCTATGATAAAACTTGTTCTCAGTTGTTTTGATTCAATTTAGAATTTGTTGCTCTAATTTATTCTAAGCTTGAAATGAGCTTTCAATTTGGAAATTGTGTTTGTTTAAAGGAATTTTGTTTAATTTTGATAAATATAATAGATTGCATTATTATTAATAGATTGTCTATAAGATTGATGTGTTGTAGACAGAGTAGAGCAAAGTCAACTTTGAACCCTGCTTTTAGTGTCTACGAGCTTTTTATTGATGCATGAACTTAGAAGAACTTCTAAGAAATCTTTGAAATACTATCACAAACAAAAAATCTTTTAAACTAAGTGCTTCACTCAACTAAACCTCAAGATTCTAAGAATTTTCATATTCATTTCTTCAATTTACCCTCAGCAATGAGAAATTTCATTCGTTTTCATCCTTCCGGGATCAAAATATCTGACAGCTAGAGTAGCAATTCCTTGCCACAATTTATATTATTCAAAAAAACAATTTGTCTTGCTATTAAATCCCCTCTGCATACCTTTGAAATAAAAATGCATTTGCTTGATTGTAATTGCACAATAAATCATCTTTAAAGAATTGAAATCATAAAAGATTTAAACTTTAAAAAAAAATTCTTAATATTCATGGATGCGATTTGAATAGGATTTTTTTTTTTTTGACAAAAAAACTTATTCAAACCTCGCCCGAATGATACAAGTTGGTTAATCGATCAGAAATTCGGCACCTCTGGTTTGACTCTGACATTTAAATCAAAGCCAGCACCATGCCAGAGTAATGCCAATTTGGTGCCAGATTTCTATTTGATCCTTGCCTCAAAGCTTCTGACCCCAGTTCCCTCAAAGTTCTGATTTTCAAAGTCAGACGAAGCTTAAAATTAAGCTTAATAGAAATGAAAAAGCAGGAAATTTTTATTTTTAAAGATTCAAGATTAAGCCTCTGATATAAAATTTTCGGTACCTAAGAGTGAGATCTAGATCAGTGTTGTCTTAACATTTTGAGCCATGACACAGCTTAGGGATAAGACAACACTGTTTTGAATGAAAAACTTTTTCGTGTCCATGCCTTACTTGAGCATGACTAAAGACTCAAAACCTTCCCCTTAACTTTCTGGAAAGCTTTTTCAATCTGCAAGTTCCTAAGGATTTTTCAGAATTTCTAAGCTTTCACCTAGCTAGCAATTGCAAGTGAACGACCCTATTTCTATCATATTTTCACATTCATTCATAAATCAAAATATTCGTGTGCAAAAACAAAACATTTTTCAATCTTAGTGTAATGTAAATGTATTTTTTTCAGTTACAGCATCCTTGAACAATAAAATCTCTCTTACATACATCAGAATAAGGAAAGAGCTTGACGATAAAAATAAAATAAAATATCTGACATGAAAAATCACATTTAATTTAAAGTATAATATATGAATGTATCATCATTCTTTGCATGTGATGCGAATCCCTTGATATATTCTAGAATTTCAATCAAAATGGAGCAGAAACTTTTTTTTTCTTTTTATTCTCCTTTCATCATCCATTAATTGAATTAATTAACTTTTTCTATACAATACGTTCCATTCATCCACTTGAGTAATTTCTTTTTCATATTCTTTAATTCTTGTTTCGCAAACATCATAATTATTTATTGTTATGAGCATAGTAAATGGAATGTATTGTATGATTTAATAAATATATGTGGATTAAAAATACATAATGTATGTGTGTATTAATAATTTTCTAGGTTGTTGGATTTATGAATATGAATTGAATATTTTATGGATATTATCTGAGGATGTTTACATTAATGAAGGATTATTTAAAATTAATATTTTCTCTGTGTGTGTTTGTTTTGGCAATAAGCTATGAGATTGAAGATGAAATGAGTCACATAAAATTTTAGTATTTAAGAAATAAAGGCTGACTTTAAGAATTACTTGTGATTTTCTATTGGTTTGTAACCCGAGTAGCGACGCTAGAACGAATTGAGGGAAAATTTCTCGTCACACGAAAAACACACAATAATGTCGTCCTGGCATAGGATTTCGTCTCGATTATCCTACTTGTGCTACTTAAGTAATTTTGCATTCGATATTAAATTTTGCAGTAAGGCTAATAAAAAGCTCAAGCATTTGAAAGCTTTCCCATCATCCATACAAGCCATATCAGATATCCCATATGCATTGCATCTTATCGAATCATCAGATGCTCACATCACAGGATATGACAAAATATATTGAAAAATAAAATAAAATCTGCCACTGTTGCGGGAAAAAAATGACAAATTGAATCTTATTTCCTTCATACATCTATGAATATAAGGAAGTAAAATATGTATGTTTATGGTTTGTGTCTTTAAAAAGAATAAGAAGTGAGCATGCTTTTATTACATTTTGTCTCAGAAATTCCTTTTTTATTATCAACATAAAAGGCGGCAATATAAAATCGCAAAAAAAAAGATATTCGAAAATATTTTCGATAAAAGTTCTTCATCATCATTTTTTTCACACTCTATTAAGATGTTTGGTACTAAACCATGGTTTGTAGCAGCATTGTCAACCTGGATACGGCAATTAAGTTGGTTAAATTTGTTTTGGCCATGAGTCAGATAAAGGTAGGGTGACCACATATATTTTTTGAAAAAAATAGAGGACCTGAAAGTAAAATAGAGGACATCCCAAGTGTCTAACAATTTTATTCGTTTTCTTGACGAACTAGAACAAAACAAAACTATTTGATTTTTAAAAAATGAAAATAATAGAGGACTGTCCTCTGAAAAACCAAGCAGATGGTCATCCTAGATAAAGGTTGTCCATAGGTTTTTGCCGATTTCAGCTCTGAAAAAGCCGGACAGACCAAATTTTATAAAAAAAACTAGGTTCACAAAATCGAGATATTAATGATTTTAGGTGGCACTTTGTCCAAAAAATGGGGACTGTCCCGTTAAAAGTGCGCAGTTGGACTCAGATATGATAGTAAAAATTGTAAATTTAATGATTTTTAAATTTGTTTCCGACTGTCGGACTTAGCTCAGTGGTAGTAATCTTATCTAATCCTCACGTAATTGATCTAATGGCATCATAGCTAGATTATAGAAAAGTATGGAGTGGTAAATCAAGTCTTAAGCCTCTATTGATTTGTTAATGGATTTATAAAGTTCTTATAAAGTTTTTTAAATTCTTGATTTTTCTCGAGAGCACAAAAATGCTTTGCAGTCTTCTTCATCTAGGCAAGGACCTAGACAGAAAGTATTCGAAGAAGAGGTCGAAAGAAGGAACCAAAATTATTTCAGGCAAATTTAACTATCTATTTAGGCTCTTACATCAATGTATTTATCAATGGCTACCCGCATAGGTCTTTTTTTTTTAATTTTAATTGCACTTTATTGCATTTTTTGACGACATACTGTCCGGTAATAATTCACATTTTACACTTTTGTATTTGTATACATATGAACTAGTATTTTGTAGGATCAAACTGCTAATCTTCAAATCTAGGGTTCAAATAAACTAAGGCATTCGTTTCGATCTTCTGTAGGCGTAACGTGATACTGTTCAGGTCCGTTCTAACAATATTCCATTCGTGGGTAATCTTGTAGCTCTCGTTCCTATTTCTCCCGCTACACTTCAAGTTCCTGCCCCGTTCCTTAATCCAACGTTGCCCAAATGCCCAATTATGGCTTGATCTCCTACATTAAGCAGTCGAAGTATCTAAACTTCCGAAAAAGAACAAATTTGGAAAATGGCTGGATTCGAACCGACGACCTTCGAGTTACCATCCCAAATTTGAGCCAAGCGCCTTACCTATTCGACCAGCAAGGCACGTAACTGCTTATGAAGGCGAATTGGTCAAAATAAGTGTGAGAATCTGAGTTGTTATGCAACAGACAAGAGATCTATAACTCACTTTTTTGTGGATGTGAATTTGATTCAAGAATACAGCATTTAGCCTATGAATCTATAAACCTTACCTAGATATTCTAATTTTTGAGACAAACTCAGCTCTCTGGCACACAAAGTAACACAATAACATAATCGCTTTATTAAGTTCAAGTCATGTGTGAATGTGCATAAACTTTTATGGCGGAATGTGCAAAAACTTTCCGGTATTTTCGGAAGCTTTTTCTCTTTTCATGCCACATCTTTGCGTGAAAACTTCTTTAACCTCTTTTTTTCACCATTTATTTCACAAGTTGAGGCAAATAAAACGAAAAAGTGTCAAGAAGAAATGAAGAAAAAAAATTTCTTATTCCCCATTTGATGTTTCATTCTTTTGTGTCTACACAACAGAAGCACAGTAAAATGACTGTGAGCATATATACACAAAAAAAAAATGAGAAAAAGTTTGTTACATTGTTTTGACATAGTTATGTGGTATATCTCCCGACAATTTTCAAGCAATAAAAAGAGAGAAAAAATTTAATAAAACAATTTTTTTAAGAATGAAAAACAATCGCAAATTAAATTTATTCATGCAGCATGCTTCACCGCAGAATTATGTAGTCGTGTGAAAACGACATGTCATAATTATTCATGAACGAAGAGGACAACAGCATAAATTATGACAAATTGTCCTCTAATTAAGTTTCAGAAATTGTGAATAAAAAAAAAAAGTTTTTCTCTCTTTTTTTTTGGACACATAATGAGTCGTTTCCTTTTATCTTATTTCCGTAATGATAATCAACAAAACGCAACACATGTTTGTCATTCTCACTTGATAAAAATAAACAAGCAAGTTTAAATGTCACTTGGAGGCAGTTTTTTGGTGATTTTTATGAAATTGACAATATTTTAAGTTGAAGTTGAGACATTTAAGTTTCGAAACCTAGGTTTTTCAAATTCAGGGTTAGTTTTTGGGTAAATGCCCCATCCGTTCCTTGTAGAAGTTCTGGCTACACCACTGTTAAGACTTAATTTAACCCAATTTGTAAGCTATGAAGTGCTAAAAATTGTAAAGTTCAAGTTTGTCAGTCCTTAATCAAAGGTTCGAGACTCAAAAGAAAAAGCAGGGCCTTTGAACATTTCCTAGCTTAGCTCATGTGCTTATTTATATAATACCTGACAAATGTCAAAACTTCTAAAGGATCTCATTAGAAATATCAATTTTATAATTTAATTACTATCTTAAGAAAATCAATTACTATCCAAAAAATCTCAAAGCAAAAGCGAAATCTCAAAGAAATTTCATCAATCTACTGATTGTTCATTTAAGTATGAAATTTCATAATAATTTTATTGCATAAAGTTCAATCAACATGCTATATCATACAAAATGCTGAGTGCATTTGTTGAAAACCTGATTACATCAGCCATACACAAGTATTCTCAAAAAGTAATACAATCTCAAATTCTAAAGAAATTTTTAAAAAGCACTAGTTGTGCACATTCCATCAGACAAATAGACAAAGAACTGTATACAATGTTCTTATGCTCAAAATTAATGAAATGAAACGAGCAACTTCGAAAAAAATTAAGGTAAACATAGCAAGAGATTCAGTATACGTGCAACTTTCATAATGAAACTTCAAATTTTGTTTGTTTTCTTTCTTTATGTTCATCTAATAATAGCAGAATATGCACCTTCGGTAAGGTTGAAGAAATATTCTAGTCATAAAGCCAAATCAATGTCAAAAGCAATTAACGAAACTTTATGCCAAGAGCAATTGGATTTCTTTTATCAATCCTTCTACCGAAATGAGATTTGGGCTCTGAACTGTAAGTTGAATTTTGAAGATTTTTTAGATTTGGGGTCGTATCGAAATGATGTTTATGGTTTGTAGTGAGAAAGAAAGGGTTGAGGGATGCCTCAAGCTGAATGCCATTACAAATTTTACGGATGTAGCTTAGAACTTTCTCAAACTAATGCCAGAAAGTAAGGCTATAGCAGGCTGTTTGGCTATCGGAGAGGCTAATTGCTTGACTCTTAAACTTATTGTCTACTTGGATGACTATCTAGCTGTCTCCTGATCACATGACTCTCTATCTGTTCTTCCTTGTATATAGTTTTCAAGTCAAGCTTAACGAAATGGCATCACTCTAGACATCATTTCCAAACGACCCCTCAATTCCACCATCAAAATTTTTTTTCCGACCTTAAAACTCAATTTTCAGTTTTCGATTCGTGGTCAAAAATCCAATCAGGATATTTTTCGGGCAATTACATCGATTTAGGAGATTATGATCAGTGCACAAAATTTATATTTCCAACGAATGAGGTTGGAACGATAAAGGGAAAACAATGTTATATGTCATTTGAAGCGACACCAAAGGCGACAATAACTGAACATGATAACGCAATCAATAGCTCGTTTGATTGGACTGTAATGTGAGTTATTAAATTTTTATTTTTTATTTATTTTATGTGTGTTGAAATTTTTATCAAAAAATATTTCAACATTTTTTTACAGTTCAAAAATCGCTAGATTTTTGGATACACATCTGATAAATTCAATATGCATGCCCGCGTCATGTTCAGTTGAACAGATCATTGAATTTATGAACAACGACTTTCGATTATTGGAAGATTTTATTGTCGATGGTACTTGTACGGAATTGGATGAAGTTACTGGATTACAATCAGTTGATATAGCATTGATGTGAGTTGCATAAATTGTTTGAAGTGATTTTTATTGAAGCATAAAGCAAGTGTATGGGGGTTGATGGGATTATTTTGATGAGTTTAAGCATTTTGAAGTCAATTGAGCTAGATTGGTAGCTGTTCTCGGAAGTATGCTATAGATTAGACTTAATTCAGTTACCAAAACTGATTCTTGTGCGGTTTAAGTTCTATTTTACTCATAGTCTTTGTCATAGCTAAAGTGGCTCGATGGCGGAATGGTTTAGGACTTCGGTGCTTAATTATTGCAAAACCGACACAGCGATCATGGGTTCGAGACTCGGTATGGAAAATTTGTCGCTTGTCCTTTTTCGAATCATATGTACTGCAAATGAAGCCCACAGCCTTTCTTTGTAGGCTACAAGTAGGAATGTCCTCAAAGGAGTGGTTCGGATCCCACTATAATCTGTAGGTCTAGGTTTCGTTAAACTACCGCTAGCTGATCTGCAAAGCAGCTGTTCCTAAGAACTTGTAGTTCAAACATTAATTTGTATATCAAGAATTCAACAATACTAAAAGATTCTTCTGATACAAACCTAGCTTCAATGAAACTTGTTTTCCTGAAGCCTTAATCATGAAACTAGAAAAACTCTAGTCAAATAATTCAACAAACTCATCCCATCACATCTCACAATCCTCTCAGCACAAAAAGCTCACGCTTAACTCAACTCAGAATTAGTCGACGAAAAATCCATCAATCCCCGCTCATGCATTCAAATCAAATAAATCATATATATTAATTTTTTTTCTGTTTCACAGTTTGATATTCGCTGTATCAATCTTGTTGATGGTTTTGAGCACAATCTATGATTTATTTATGCATCAAAAATCAAAGGATCCAAATAAATTACTTATATCATTCTCCGTCTATACAAATGGCAAAAAACTGTTCGACATGACCGAAAATAAATCCTCAATCAATTCACTTCATGGATTACGTGCACTGTCGATAATCTGGATAATGTTTGGACATCGTATTACAAATCAGCTTGGTTTACCATATCGAAACAATAATGAATTATTTGAATTTTATCAACAATGGTACAGCGTGATTGTTTATGCATATTCAATTGCTGTCGATACATTCTTCTTAATGGGAGCTCTTCTCCTTACTATGTCAACATTACGTGCTATTGAGAAGAATAATTTAAATATTTTGAGGATGGTATGGCATCGTTATTTACGTTATACACCTGTGCTTGGTGTTGCTGTGTTGTGTACAATTGCATTACCGAGATACTGTACATCCGGGCCTTTAGAATTCGGTGATTTTCGTGAAAAGTGTGTCAATTATTGGTGGTCTGCATTGCTGCATGTTCAAAATTATGTTAATCCAGATAAATTGTGTTTAAACCACACTTGGTGAGTCTGTTATAATCATGCTGTGGACATTTGATGTTTAACAGTCAAAAAATATTTGAATTTTCAAGCGTCGAAAAATATTTAAATTTTGAAAATTTAATGGTTAAAATATATTTGAATATTTAAATGTCAATTTTCTGAAGTGGCCACAGCATGACAACCTGATTTCATGCATCATACATATTGATTATCTCTAATTAGGTATCTCTCAGTCGACTTTCAACTCTTCGTCATTAGTCCCTTTCTAATCTATGGAATTAAGAAATATGCCAAACTAATGCTAATAATTCCGGTCTTAGTCATTCTATGTTCATTTTACATCTTCATGATCTCTATTGTTTTTGATGTTCACAAAACGCCGCGTACATTCGATGAAGGTGAAATTTATCATAGATGGATTTATCATCCTACACATGCCAGGTACGTCTATAGAGGATTAACTTAATTATCCTGTATTATATAAATATATTTCTATTTCTAGAATTCAGTCATGGCTTATTGGGATGGCACTTGGCTTTTTACTCCACAACAAGCGAAATGAAAAAGTCAAAGTCAATTGCATTATTGATTCATGTCTGCTGCTTATATCCCTGCTTATATTAACGGTAATCATTTTAAGTGCACATATTTTTTCAACACCGTACATTAGTGGCAGTTCATCGCTTCTGTCGAATGCAATTTATATGTCATTGCATCGAATTGGATGGGCATTAGCACTGGCATATATTATTTTTACATGCGAGAATCAACGTAGAGGTTCAATCATTCGATGGATTTTATCGCATCCATATTGGAAGCCAATTGGAACAATGGGACTTAGCTTGTACATTACTCATTTGATTTATATGATGTTCACGATGATGAATACGAAGCAAGTTCAATTTTTCTCATTTTGGACGGTTGTGAGTATAAAGTTAAGTTTTTCGATCGACATGGAAGTGACTAATTGTCGTTGAATGGTTGCTCCTTGATGCTGGCATATGCTGGTTGGCTTATGAAGCTCTGACAGTTTTGTATAAAGTGTCTCACATTTAGCTAGTGATTATTGATTCCTTAGGAACCCTCCCAGGGATGGACACCGGATGAAAAATTTTACTAGCGTCGGATGAAAAAAATCATGTGTCCATGCCTCGAAATCCTTAATAAGACAATGAAGGAGGCAAATACTACTTCTTGACTCTTGGGGACCCATCTTGGCTGTGCTTGCGTCATAAAATCATCTCTAGCCACCAAAAAATTAATACCACTAAAAACTATGTCGATCGGAAACGTTGAATAGAACTTGATTAATTGTTATCAACTTTTTTGTTTATTTTTTGTAGCTACACACATTCTCGGGTGATTTATTCCCTTCTTTCTTGATTGCGACTTTCTTTTATTTGGCATTTGAAACACCGTATCTGCTTATTGAGAATTATTTCTATAAGAAGTTCAACAAATCTGAATAAATAATTGTTTTTCCGATCTTGAGATTGAGAATTTTTTATTGGAAATTTAATTTGCAGCTTAATTATTTTAGGTAAAGTTGGAATGTTAGGGATTGAAACAACTTAGTTTTTTGATCCTATTTGGATAAGCTAAAGTTTGTTTGGCCTTCCCTTAAAATGTCCTTGTCTGTAACATGATAAGCTAAGTTCAACACTTCACCATTAAAATCACCAATGTTTAAATCTTCTATAGCAGTGTTTCTCAAAATTATTTTTGCACGGCACCCTTTTTTGCTTAAAACCTTTCGCGGCACACCTGAATAGTCTCGCCGCACACTAAATGATTTACATGACCCTTTTGAAGTTAAAAAACATGAAAATAAAAGGTCAATTTTAAGCATTCAATTTTTTTCACGGCACACAATTTGAGTGCCGTGGCACACAGTTTGAGTGCCGTGGCACACAGTTTGAGAACCACTGTTTAAAGATTAAGACAGCTACATAACTTCCAAAGAACCCCCTTGATCGAAAAAGTGATATTTCTTGTTGTTTTAATTTAACGGTTCTCAGCACAAGAAGAATAGATTGAAGGATATTATCGATAAGTTTGAAGACCTCGAAATGGTAAGGCTTAGATTTTTAACATCGTAATCGGATCAAAAATAACTTTGGTAATTTCGTTAAAAGGTCTAGTCCAAATAAAGAATTCTTTAGGATTAAATCCCACACTAATAAAAAGTTCAATCCTTTCCCAATAAATTTAATAAAAAGTTCAATTCTTCCACTCGACAGCTTTAAACCATTAAAAGTTTCACGAAAATAAACACAATGAAATCCATATCGATTTTCTTCTTTAATTAAATTCCATACTTCCAATTCATACGTAATCATTACACAGCAGTTCTTATTTTACACAATCATTTAAAGTAACTTAATATTTTTTAAGAAGAAAGCAAAAAAATTGAATTCCGAGAAGAAAAGAAAAGCACTTTTTTTGTATCGTCTCATGAGATTATCACTAAGAGGATTTGAAAGCTTCTAAAGTGTCAAATCTGTACACAAGAACCGTCAAAACAGAAAATCAATTACTTTAAAAACATTTAATCTATTTTCACATTTTTTTGACATGCTCTTCCCGTCTTCAATTTTTTTTGTCACTCGATAAATTAAATGGGTGTGTTGGAAGTGCTACAAAAAGGCTAATAATATTTTGAATAAATTGACATTTGTTGCAAGGTTGGCAGTCGATTGAAAAATGAAGGTGTGCTGCAGATTTTTTATTTTCTCGCTAATTTGACAGGGAAATGAAGGTAAGTTCTTGAATTGAGTTGGTGACATTGTCACTTAGTTTTTGGGGTTTGATGTAAAAATATATTTTTAAAATTTTCATTGCGAATTTCCAGTGGGTTTTTGAAATTGAAAGTCACGACAGTGATCAAGACACGCGGCAATAAAATTGTATTTCTACTTTTAAAGTGATATTCATGTGGTCGTGGCTTTAAGAACATATCTTGAGTTGATTGGCATGCACATGGGCTCGCAATTGAACTGGGTTGTTTGTGTATGCCGGATAGCCATAATAACAGTGATAACTCAATGGCATATGGCCATGCATGGCTAGGAATTTGTAGCTGAAAAGTCTGAGTTTATCTCTTTTGAGAACGTCTGTTCGATTTTCTTAAGAAAGAAGTAGATTTTTTCGGGTGAAGATCATCTGGCAGACGGAATTCCTAGGAACTTTTCTTAGGAATTCCTAGAAAGTTTTCTGCGATTTCCTAAAAAAATTCCTTAGACTTCCTATCATTATGGCCCAAACTTCCTTAGTTTTTAAAAGTAATTCCTAGTAAATCTAGGAATTCCTAATTTTTTTAGAAATTCCTAGGAGATATATTTTTTTTGTAATAATTGCGATTCGCAAAAATATTTTTTGAAAAATTCCTAAGAAAATTAGGAAGTTGTAGAAATTCCTAGAAAATTCCTAGGAACTTATAGTAATTCTTAGAAATTACTATGAATTTTAAGGAATTACTAAAGATCGTAGGAATTTTTAAGAACTTTAAAAGAATTAATTTTCTGCGATTCTTAGGTATTGCTATACATTTTAGAAATTCCTAAGAATCGTAGGTCTTTTATCAAGGTCTGCATGACGAGAAATCCTTCACCATTTATTGGGTGTTAAAAGCCTGGCAGAAAGTAATTCTTTGGAATTCCTGTTACTTTACGTAGGAATTTCAAGGAAAAAGTAGAAAATTCTCCTAGGACTTCCTTTAATTTCCTAGGAATTTCTAGAAAAACGAAATTATTTCCTAGAAATTCCTAGGAAATTTCCTACTTTTTCCTTAACGACGAAAGTATTTTTGAGAAAATTCCTAGGAATTTACTTAGGAAATCCTAGAAATTCTTAGGTAACTTAAGAAATTCTTAAGTAATTTTTACTTCTACGCAGTAAAAACTGTAACAGCTTCTCGAAAAACTGTAAAAGCAAATATTTCCAATTGCGATAAAAATACTTCTTCTCAAAAATTTGAAATGCTGCCATGAATGACCTATACTATTCAGCACTAACTTACAGCTATATTAAATCACAGCTGTTAATTGCATATGTGTTAAAGCAGCTCGGTAGGATTGTTTAGTACTTCGATACCTAATTATTGCAGTACACAACGATCATGGGTTAACGTATACAACAGTTATTTTACAATTTATTATACTTAGGCTTACGTATAAATAAGAATGTATACGTAGGGATTAAATTATAGCTGCAAATTTGACCTTTAGTTTGAATAACAAGCAGCTTTAATTAAAGATAATGCGTACTGCTTAGGTACGCTTATCGGTACTTGTTCATTAAACTTTTGCAAATTTGACTATATTATTTCCTTTTACAAAAAGTCTGGAGAAAAATGCCGATCGGAATTAGTTCTGTACAAGTCTCTATTTTTGCTTCAATTTTAGCCACCACGTTTTAAGTACAGATAAGCGATTTCCTAAACAATACATACCTCAATTTACAGCTGCATGTCATATAGACCCAAAAACTTACACCTGTGTTATGAAGCTGTAAATTAGGACTAAATAGTACAGAATTCTATTAAATCTTAATTTGTTTGGATAGAAACTTTTTGCGATATAGTCAATTGTATTCTGACAAAAACAAATAACATACTCGCTTTTGCTAGAAGATATTTTTAAAAATGATTAAAAAAATCGTTCAGCCATCGGCGTTTTTGGGTTAAATTTTCTAATATTTCTCAAAATTTTTGGGATTTCTTTAGTACAGCCTGAAATATTCTAGGTAATCCTAAGAAATCCTGATAAACCCTAGAAAATATAAGTAATTCTAGTATTTCCTAGGATTTTGGGGAAATCCTTTCAAGAACTTTCTGTAATATCCTAGGAAATCAAATGATATACTAGGAAATCATAGTAAACATAAACATTTTATAATTATTCTAACGAGGGTTCTAGGAATGACTAGGATTTTCTAGTATTTCCTAATATTACTAGGAAGTTTCTAGAAATTTCTACAACTTCCTAATTTTCTTAGGAATTTTTCAAAAAATATTTTTGCGAATCGCAATAATTACAAAAAAATATATCTCCTAGGAATTTCTAAAAAAATTAGGAATTCCTAGATTTACTAGGAATTACTTTTAAAAACTAAGGAAGTTTGGGCCATAATGATAGGAAGTCTAAGGAATTTTTTTAGGAAATCGCAGAAAACTTTCTAGGAATTCCTAAGAAAAGTTCCTAGGAATTCCGTCTGCCAGATGACCTAGAAGCGATTTTTTCAAATGCAGGAGCAATGCAGAGTTGTATCAGCTGTTTACAGAAGCTGATATCGTTAAACGAATTAAAATAAACAGGATCCGATGAGCTGGAAATGTTATAAGGAAACCTGTGGAAGCTTCATTAAGTAAGGTCTTTAAGTCGGACTTTATGAATAGCAAAAGAGCACGTGGAAGACCAAAGAACTCATGGTAAGAGGATTTTGAGAGAGACAACATTGCATTTGGAAGTAGAAACTGGAAAGCGGTAGCCAGTGTAAGACTTTGTTTTTAGCGACACCTCAAGGAGGTCATAGGTCACAATTGATCTGTACGGTCATCGAAGTAAGAAAGTAAGTGTTCGATTTCCATAAAACTTGACTTGAGCTACATTAGAATGCATCTTCGCCAGTTGTATAGTTCCATATTTAGTTCACTTGTCCTAAATTGGAATCGAACCTCTTTACTCTTATTAATTTTTGATCACATCCTCTTTCCGATTTCAATGGTTTCTTCCATTTTATTATTGATGTGGATTCACTTTAGATGAGGATAGCCCTAGACAAATTCTCTTATGCTTGTCCTTCACAATCTTAGTCTACAAAACAACCTAAATCAATATTGAATCTATAAAGCAAGTTCACGGTCATATAAATCAAATAAATTGAAGTAAAGCACCAAACTAAGACATATTAAGCCTGTCTAATTGACCGAATCCCCATTTTTATATTGCAGAAATAAAAGTATATCTGACAGGACATCAATTAAACAGGAACTAATGCCGAAATAATTGTAAAGATGTTTCCCATCAATTTGTGAGCCATTTATACCAGCAATTTAAAAGAATAGATCTATTTGCAGTACCCAGTTGAGTGTGTTTTTTTTTTATTTTAATGGACGGTCGGGTTCCATTTGATGGAAATATTTTTAAGGATCATAAAATATGCAAATCAATGAAGTATAGAATACTCGAGATCAATAATGGACTCAATTTCGTTCGAACGAAACTCATTTAAATGTTATATCCAAAAATATAATTTTCTTTTATCTTTTTTTTTGCATCGAAATCCTCACTTTGCAATGAAGAATGCTTGAATAGGTTCAAATTTCGTGTGAAATCTCCATCCTAATAGCCTTTCAGAGATCATTTTAGGGATCAATTAAATTAACGATTTTGAGGGTATTGAAAAAAATGTGAATTTTTATTCTGAGGTTTATTTTAGAGAAAATGGAGGTTATGAAAAAATTGGGTGATTAAAGAGGGTCAATTTATTGGAATAATTGGTGATTTATGTTTGAAATGGGACTTGAAATGTTTGCCATCAAGTTTTTTAATATTTCTAAAAAAATATGAGAAATTCTTCTAAACACAAAAAATTCAAACCTTTCAAATTACACCCTGAAGGGAGGATCCAAACGAAAAACAATTACCACATCAGAAAATAAAGCACAAAATTAATTTTATTCTGATTAAAATTTTATGAATTCTTAATTTAACAAGCGGTTGTGTTCCGCACAAAATAGAATCACCCGAGGAAAAATGTTAAAGCTCAAAAAATAACGACGAACAAATCAATTTTCAAAGCTCATTAAATTTTAAGTTTTTCGCGTTCAAAGTGCGCAGCGCATTATACATGAGATATAATATCAATGTCAGCTTTAAAATCCAGAAATTAAATTAAATTGTCTTCGTTTCTGAATTTTTATGAAAGCATTTTGTAAAAAAAATCTACTTACGTGGAATTTCCAGTCGAATTTCCATCCAGCTCCGTGCTGGTGGCATAGCCTTCACTAGCATCAAAAGGATATGTCACATTATCATCACTATTATTATTATAGATGTTGAATGACAAATTGTTATTCAAATTTGAATAATCTAACGTTGTCATGATTTTTTTTCTAAACTATTTTATCTCTTTTAATTGGATATACATTTATGGAACTGTCACAACTTTTTCACTTGATATAATCCTAACTACCACTTCCAATGGCATCACATATCGGTGAGGAACGACCAGAAAAAAAACAAATATTTTTCTTGTGCTTCACAAAAAAATATTAAATTAAAAAGTTCGTTGTGTTAGCACTTTTGCCATTTCTGTGAGCATAATGTGCTTGCGGTCATTTGAAATGAATTTTATGGGTTGTGAAAAAATGAATAAAATTTTTTAAGGAATGGGAAAAAATTCATAAAGCACGAGTTGTAAAGCTCCACACTTTAATTTCCGTCGCACGAGATGAAAAATGTCATTAATTGCTCGTTCAACTTCTTCCTACTATTTTTTTTCGAGTTTTTTTGGTTCCTTCCGACAAATGATCAACATCAACAGCAGTCAGATAGTAATTTCATAGCTGAAACGAACAAAAATAGCAATTAAAAGATGTTTCTGAGGATTTATCATTTGAATTTTCGCAACATTAACCATCATTTATCTCATCTAATGTCCTAACAGTTTTTCATCTCCTCCTTTAATTTTCTTTCTGTTGGGAAGATGAAAAGTATTTAGCATCTACGCCTCAAAAATATTTCATGTCGATGATGTGAGAGGCTAATGCTGCTTTTGAGCCGCCTTTAAAAGTCTAACGAAATGGAAACTGGGTTAGATTTAGTTGCTAGGGACGGACGAAAGCGTATTTGAGTTTGGAAGCAAAAATGACAGGCATTTGGTAAAAAAAAACCAGCCCGGAATGCACAAGTTGGTTAATCAATCAGAAATCCGACGAAAAGTCAACATGACTCTGGTAAGGAGTGGTTTGGATCCCACTATAAATTGTAGGTCTAGGTTTGAGTGCAGTGGTTTGGCGCATCCTCACTCGTTAAACTCTCATTAGCTGCGAAACGCCTTAGCGCACCTCTGGATCACAATTGATCTGAATAGGTAAAGGTTTTTTTTAACCGACTTCTACTATCCAGGGGCGTTGCAAGGACCAAAAAAAATTTTTTATTGTTCTTGGTTTAAACCCTGCTTTAAACTTATCAGCTTTTGATAATTATCTGCGATTTAAAGTTTAAAAAAGTTTTTTTAAAAATTTGTATGAAATTTCGATCTCAAAGTGGGCACCCAAAAACCTCGCTTCACCCCCTCACCTGGTTACTAACCAAGTAGCATTATACAATATTTCCCCAATCCCACTCGTGATTTCAGATACATTTTTCAGAGTAATTCTTTTTTTTTGTCATCTAGAAGTCGATTTACAGATAGACAGACACAGTTAGAACGTCACTTTCCTTTATTCCTTGAAAAGAATAAAAAAAAGATTTTTTGTCACATCAAACATTTAAGGATCATCGTCACAATGTCATGAAGACCAACATCAAGCAAAGGAATAGACAGAAAAACTTAATAAAAACTCAGTCAATTTTCCTTTTGAGTGATTTCCCTGCTTAGCGATATGAGATTGGAGATTAAAGTTAATGAGTAGCACTTTAGCTGGTGCCAATCATCAAAGAATGGGAAAATTATTATTTTACGCATTTTTTACATTTTAAATTTTTTTTTCTTTATTCTGAACTTTAAAGAGAATCCAAACCAACATCAGAAAACTATTCAAAACACCTTTATTTAAAAAAATCTTCAAATAAATCCGCAGACTCCTTAACTTATTCAAAAACCGAGTAATTCATAAATTATACAACATTATTCACTCATTTCTGCTTCCACGAACTTCTTTCGTCATTAAAAAACTGTTGATTTCGTGTCTACAAGAAGGAAGTATTTCCTTTGATCATGAACTGTGAAAAAATTCCTTCATTCACTTTACTGAGAAGCGAAAGCTCAAGTCAAATAACAACAAAACCACAAATTTGAAAAAAAAAGAATTTAATGTCGCTGCTCGACGATGCAAATTTAATTAATCAAGTCGTTAATGCTGTCAGTCTGTAGAATGTTTTATTTTATTCATTAAAATCCTATTCTTATTTTTATGTTTTTTATCATCTCCATGAAAAAGGAAGCAAGCGTCTCTAGTGACATGATACTATATAATGAGGATGTATAGCAATAAGATGAAAAAGGACTTGGTGTGAAGTGTTTGTATGAATTATTCATATTTATCTCATTTTTCATGCTTTATGCCTAGGTTAATATTTATTTACTAGAAATGAGTGTGAAAAATTTTTAGCGCATTTTTGAAACTTGTTTTCAAAAAGGTAGCTTAATAACGCACTATGTTCTGCTGGTCGGCTGGTCGGCCGCTAAGAAAAACTTTTAATCTAGACATCGTAGAGAGTTCTAGTTTTTTGCATTAGTTCCGTTATATCGAGTTATTGGCCTGCCGGACATTTAAAAATCTTAAAACAGTGTATTTATGCTATAATTAATGAATTTTCTAAAAAAATTAGAATTCTACACTTCGAACTTCTACACTATCCGAACATTTGATGGGAACTTCTACACTGTCAGACTAATAATTTGAATTTCAAAAAACCGTTAAATTACCAAGCCTTTTTATATGAAATTTTTTTTTGCAACAGACTGTTATTTATACTATAATTAATGCTTTTACTGCAATTTTTGGCAAGGTACTTTCAAATGCATACGACCGTTATAAAATTTGAACTTCAGAAAACCGTTAAATGATAAACAATTTATATAGGAGAATGAAAGATATTAAATTGTTAAATTTACTATAATTAATGATTTTTTGTGTATCTTTTGGCGGGAAGCTTTCAGAAACTTACTGACCGTTAGAAAATTTGAATCTCAAATAATAACTAATGTTTTCGTAGTGCAACTTTAAGCGGGAAAAATTTCAAATTATTTATTAACCGTTAAAAAATTTGAATTCCAAAAAACGTTTAATGATAAATCATTACAAATTATTAATTATACTATAGTTAATGTTTTTGAAGTGCAACTTTTAGCGGGAAAATTTCAAATTATTTATTTACCGTTAAATAATAAAGCCTTTCTATATAAGCATTCATTATAAATATTTGCTAATTGATGATCTTCTAATGATCTGTAAATGAACGCAAAATAAATAGATAATCAAATACTGATCGCTAACACAAAAATGCGCTGAAGTCACTCGATCAAAACACGAGGACTTTTGTAATTTTTTTTTTGTTTCCATCAGTGTCGTCAGTGTTGATGAACTAAATGACAAGGCTATGTGGAGACTGTGGATGTCTTTTGAGCGTATGACTGACATGAGCAACATCTGATATGGAGTTTGTTTTTGCCAGAAAAAATGATATTGACGTGGTGGACTTCTTGAATTATTTTTTGCGTCACATGGTTTGGCCATCACTGTTCTATGCCAGTGTTGGTCAACCCACGGGACACTAGTGTGTGTGTGTGTGTGTGTCGTGAAAATATTCCATTGGACACCACTTCTCTATGTTATAGATATTTACAATAGATTTTATCTGAACTAAACTAAGATCCATTCATCACTGTAGTGAATCACCTCATTATCGTAGTATAAAAGAGAAAGTATAATTTAAAATATAATGAGGAATGAATTTGTTATGTCAACTTGGGTGTCTTAAAATTAAAAAAATTTTAGTCCACAATCAAAGGCGATAAGAATGTTTTCGTGACCAAACTTTTCTAATAATTTTTTGGGTGTAAATTATTACATAAACATGTCTCGGCCCTTTTTCTATTAAACTGGAAATGAGTCTTTTTTATTGAAATCTAATAAATCTTGTAATAGATCAATAAGATGTCAGATTCTGATTGGAAAATTTGATGGATTTTTGTGGAGCTGAAGGTGATATTTGAGGACATGGAGGAAGAATTTTATGAGAATTCATCAATAACTTTTCTTTTTGTGGAGATATGTTGTGTAGGAATTAAATTGCAACAGTTTAGATACTGAAGAATCCTGAAAATTATAATACATGATTTTGCGGTGGATGTAGGAGAGTTTCGATATTCAGTTAGGAACGAAGCCCAGAGGATTAACTAGAAATGTTTCAGGGAAACTTGAAATTTTTTTATTGAAGATATAGCTTTCATCAAGGTTTTGGGTAAGTTAATCCTTCAAAACATTTTTGAATTCACTTATTCATGATATTTTTGAATAAGCTCATCATATTTTAGGTATATTAAGACATTATGGAAAGCTCAACTTCTCAACAAACTCTCTCAGAACATCAATATTATCAGATCCTCCCAAAATACTTCATCGACTTTGTTATTAAATTCTCAACCCTTCAAAACAAAATATTTCGAAAATTTGAGAAGAATGCAAATTTGACCTTTGCATTTTCTTATCCAAAAATCTTAATAAGCTCTTCAAATTTAAACAATTCTAAACCCTAAATGTTTGCTTGCGAACCAAATAATAAAATGATAACTGTAAAATCAAGATCGTTTTTTGAGAGCAAATTTCCTCACTCCGACACTCACACGTGTGTTTTTAATATAATAAAAACAATTTTAAGCTTTTGCTTAACAACAATTTTTTAAATTTGACTACTCTTTATCCTGTGTCTTATAACAGCATCAATAAATAATTATTTTGAAAATGATGTTCTTGGAAGTGTTGAGTTTTAATTTTGGCGTTAAAAATAGGATTTTGAGGTATATATTCATTGGGAGTGTAAGGGTTGATGATGATGATGATTAGTTCTTATTGATCCACTGTGGGGGTTGGGGGTTAAAATATGTTTTGTTCCGACGAAAAAAGTTTTACAATTTTCCCAAAAACTTAATAAATAGAAAAAATTTCTCCATTGCAAAGTAAGAGTTGATCCCCACCTCTTCTTTGCTAAAAATGGCGAAATTCAATATTGCCTTGAATCCATCCTTACTCCCAGGGGCGTAGCCAGGGGGGGCCATAGGGGGCCCGGGCCCCCCCCTACGAAAATCTGATAATTGTTTTATTAAGTATTTATAGAGAAGAACTTAATGTAGACGAAGTATATATGTATGAATAATAAATTAAATATTTAAACTTATGAAGAATGAATATAGATTTAAGGATACAAAATAACAGTTTTTTAATTTTCGAAAATAGACCCCCCCCCTTAAAAATTTTCTGGCTACGCCCCTGCTTACTCCTATCCATCCTTTAACACAAATATACATTTTCTTTAATAAATTAAATTTAATAAAATTGTA